AAACCTAACATTTTTCCGGTTATTGTCATGGGCCAAAAGTTGCCCTTTAGTTGGGTCAAAAGTACCCTTTGTCTGGTCCGGCAGGCCTCGTTGGAGGGGGTGTGTTGAAAGTCTCACATCGCCTACCTCATGTCATTTGGTATGGTTTAAATACATGTTAGGCTACTCCACATATTGCCAATTGGTTTTATGTTGGAACCTTAACAAACAGGAACCAATCCAAGTCATTGAATGTTCTTCACGAATTTCACAAAGATCCAAGAAGTCATCTGCTTACTTAGCTTATTACCATTGTCCAAAACTTGCCTCATCTAACACTATTACACTTATTCCTTATCCTTTACATTGATATCTCTTTTATTCACAATGTTCTAACCCTCATATTACTTTTTGTTTGTCCATCTTTGATACACTCGAGCCTACATCCTTCAAAGAAGCCAATCAATTTGATTGTTAACAGAAAGTTATGATTGCTAAGATAGAAGCTCTTGAGAGAAATAAGACTTGGTCATTAGTAAACCTTTCCACCGGGAAAGAAAGTTGTGGGCTGTAGATGGGTGTATCGTACCAAATTCAAAGTAGATGGTTCTATAAAATGACACAAAGCAAGGCTTATGACAAAGAATTTCACACAAACAATGGGAGTTGATTTTTTTTTCGAAACTTTTTCTCCTGTAGTTAAACTAATTACTATTTGATTTCTTCTCTCCATTGTTATCTCTTTTGACTAGTTTTTACATCAACTAGATGTTGATAATGCTTTTCTACATGAAGATCTGGATGAAGAGGTTTACATAAAGCCACCACCGGGTCTGTAACTTTCTTTTCCCAAATTGGTTTGCAAACTTCACAAATCCTTATATGGATTGCAACAAGCAAACAAATAGTGGAATGCTAAACTCACCACTGCCTACTCAATTTCATATTCACTCAAAGCACAGTCGATTACTCCTTATTTGTGCAACAAACTCCTAATTCTTTCACTACCCTCTTGGTCTATGTCGATGACATAATGATCACTAGTAATAATCTCATTATTATCACACATATCAAATCTTATCTTCACTCTCAATTCCACATTAAGGACCTTGGTGACTTGAAGTATTTCTTAGGATTTGAAGTTGTGTGTTCTAAAAGTGGATTATCTCTCAATCAACGAAAGTACTACCTTGACATTTTATGAGTTTGTTTTAACTGGTTGTAAATCAGCCCCAACTCCCACCAATGCTTTTGTCAAACTAAATGAAACAGATGGAGATCCTTACTAATTCAACTAATTATCGTAGATTAATTGGAAAGTTAGTGTACCTTACTCACACACGAGTCAATTCATGGCAGCTCCTAGAAGTTCTCATTTAAATGTTGTTTTTGAATTCTGCAGTATCTAAAGAATGCCCCTAGACAAGGCCTTTTCTATCCAATTCAAAATTCTCACAAACTTCAAGTATGCTCTGATTCAGATTGGGCCATATGCAGCAATACACGACGATCCATACCAGGCTATTGTATTTTTTTATGGTGATTTCCTCATTTCTTAGAAGTCCAAAAAGCATAGCATAATTCTTATAGCTCTATTGAGGCTTAATACAAGGCTCTTGCCACTATGGCTTGTGAGCTTCAATGCTCAAATATATTATTGTAGATGATCTTCGTGTCACTATCCCTTTGTCGGTGTCTACTTTTTGTGACAATCAATCAACCAATCAATTAGCAAAGAATCCATATCTTCCCATGAGCGTACAAAGTATATTGAGGTGGATTGTCATTTCATTTATACCAAGATAACTGAAGGACTCATTGTCATTTCTCATATTCCCTCTAAATATCAGCTTGTCAATGTCTTTATTAAGTCTTTGTTAGAAATATATCCAAGTTGGGTTTAATAAACATACACCACCCAACTTGAGAGGGTGTGTTATAACTTGAGAGGGTGTGTTATAGCTAAAAAATAGTTTTTTTGTTATAAGAAATAAAGTTGTTGCCAACTCTTTTCTAGTTATTCTATTAAAGTCAATATAGCCTTGTAAACATAGCTTTATAAAAAGTTTTTCTTATCTTGTTCAGTTGAGTTGATCAATACAAAGTAATGTGCATACTTTATTCTTTCATTTGTATCATAACACTAATAATCTAGATAGTAAAGTATATCTTAGTAATGTGAGGATGTTGTCCAAAGTTTTTGGAACTAAAGTATTAATTGTGGGTTACACGTACACTTAGAGAAGTTATGATACAAGAATATATAGATAAAAAGACTTAGTTATTTAAATAATAATATAACTGGATAAGAAATATATATGTTTTGATATGTTAAAATTAATGTTCTTTAAACCAAATCGGTCAGGAAAGGCACATATTCAAGATTTAACTAAATTTAATAAATAAAAAATATTATATAATAATATAATAAATATATGATAAATTTTTATTATTAATAATAATAATTTTTATAAAAAAAATAATTACAACATTAACGAAATTTATTATCAACCGCTATAAATAACAATTAAGATTATAAAAAATTTAAAATACATTCAAGAATAAAAACTAATAATAATGAAATTAGATAGTAAAATAAATATTATATAAAGTCAACAATATAATTTATATGACACGGATAAAAAAATTAAAAAATATTATATTTTTTATGAAAAAATTATCTTTTAAAAATATAAAAAAATTTAATCTTTAAATTTTTTTTCACAATATGGGTTCAATAAAAAAATTCAATCCATTTTTCTGATTTTATTGATTTTTTAATTTTATAATAGTTCAATTAAAATTTAATTATTTTGAAATAACTAACCAATTTTTAGAGGGTTCTCAGTTAGATCGATTGAACCAGTCAATATGATCCAATTTTTAAAATGATGATTGAAATGAAAGTTGAAAAATACATTTATGTTACTTTAGTGTTGTATGATGTTCCTAACGCATGATTATGGTATAAATGATTTGTATGGTTAGATATTGAGATGGAAAAATGTTGGAAACTAGGCAAAGTTTACTTCTCGACTATATTTTCACTCAAATGAAACTTATGGCACTTGAGTGAGGGCAACTTTTGCTAAAGAAAGGTTACTTTCACTCTAGTGGGAGAAAAGAAAATTGATTTGTCCAAATTTTCGTTGAAGTTAAAACTTTCGCTCAAGTGAAAGGATCCGGAAGTTTGGAGTGTTCTCTCGAACTTCTAAAAATTATAAAAAATAGTTTTAAACTCCAAATTTCACATTTCATGTATGAAAATGAAGTCATGAAAATAATGAATCCAATTAAATAAGAATTGGATAAAAATAATATTTATAGAAAAAGTTACGACTAAGAGAGCAAACAAAGGTCAAATAAAAAAAAACAAGGAATGAAAACATTTATTGATGACTAGTCTAACTTATTACAAATAACATAAAGGTAAGAAAATCCAAACAATAACATATAGAAAAGTACTTAAAACTACAATAAAACTCTTAATATGAATACAAAATATGTGTTATCAATGATTAATTATAAAAGGATATGGTGTTGTTGTGTATTCTTTAGACTAAGATATATATGTTGAGGCTTAGTCGAGTTAGGGGAGTAACTTATAATTGAGTAAGATATATTTTTGTATGTGAGACTAACTAGAGTCAGAGATGTTATTCATAATCAATTAAGATGTGTATAGGTGTCTAAGAAAGTACTATATGGTGTTAGTGTGCCTATTATACTTGTGCAGATTTGATGAGATAGTTTTATTGATAACCCCCACTAAGTAGATTAAGATATTAATAGGTGAGAAGCTGACGAGGGATTACTAATGGTTTACCTTGAGATCACAAGACAGGTACATCAAAATGAATAATGTTGTCATCAATTTTACTTTAGAGATAAAGAAGACAAAATGACAGTGATAGTTATAAAGTATATGATGTAATATTAATTTTAAACTAATTCATAAATGTTTATCTATAAGTTTATGATATAGTATAATATTTCTCAAATATGTTTATCTATGAGTTTATGATATAGTATAAATATGTGATATTACATGTGTGGTTTATTTTAAAGGTAGTTATTATTTAAATAATTAATTTATCATTACTTTTATATTTATAGGACTTGACTATTATAATTTTGTTAATTAATATATCATTACTTTTATATTTATAGGACTTGACTATTATAATTTTGTTAATTAATATATCATCATTCTAATTTTAATGTATATGAAGATTATATTTAAATAACAAAACTAGTCTAAAATATAATTGTGATATAAATTTTTATATACATGTTTAGTAGGATTTTGTTACATGATCTATTAGTTAAATATGGCATACTTTTTTTCTCTCTATATATATTCAATTCAAATTACTTTTATCATATATTTTCATAAATAATGTCACTTTTGAACATAATATATCTTTCAGTTAATAAATTTTCAGCACCATTCTTTATTAAAGAATTTGATTTAAATAAGGTAAAATTAGATATTTGAAAAGAAATCAATAAAAATAGATGGTAAAACAATTGACATTTTTATTTTTTGGAAAGTTAAGAAAAGATAATATATCAAAGATAATAATTTTTTTAAAATTTTTGATTAAGATTAGATAATAATAATTGACATTTAAAAAATATATTAAAATAAATAAGCGTTCCAAAAAATTAATATAAAAAACTAATAAATACGTAAAATTTACGTTAATATTAATTTTTTTATAATTTATATATAATCAAATCTTATTTACTTAAAGATTTTTATAAGATATGATAAAATGTATTTGAAAATATTGTAGATAATAGTAAATAATTAAATAAAATATAATCTATAAAAAAGATTAAAATCTTAAATATATATATATATATATAATATATATATATATATATATATATATATATATATATATATATATATATATATACCTCTGTTACTATCCAATTTTAACTTCATTTACCTATCGTTCTTGTTTCTTTGACACATTATCATATACACGAGCAATTTATCAATTCTCCTTATCATGAGTACCAGAGTAGAAGAGGAAGAATCCACCATCTCCAGTGATGAAACAATCTGTGTTGAAGTTGTTTTTATGAGGGGTTCAGAAGTGTACGATGATTATTTGGAGTTTCCGTCACCAGTTACTCCTGACTTCTTTGCTACTGAACATATCCAATGGCTATTAGAAGACGTTCTTGAAGATCTGGGTGTACCTCAAAGTTTTTTCGATGGTCGTGATTGCGACATGATTGAAAACCTTTGTAGAATGTTACGTGATTCAATATGTGGTCACACTGTCACAAATTATTTCTACATGGTCATTGAAGTATCAAGTGGTCGATGCATTTACAACATAATGGATCTCTCGTGCTTTTCGAATGATGACCAGGTTGCATCAACTGTGTTTATTCAAATGCAATCTTTACCTGCGGGAGCAACAAAACTGAGAAGATTTAAGTTTGAAGATGAAGATGAAGATGATGATGATAAAGATGAAGAGGAAGAAGATAATTGTTTCATATGTTTAGAAGATTTTAAGTATGGAGATAATGCAGCAAGATTGCCTTGCACCCATGTTTGTCATTATGATTGTATTTTGAAGTGGTTTGTTCATAGTGCTACTTGTCCTTTCTGTCGATTTTCATGTATTGAAACCTCTTTTAGTTACGAAGATTAATTAGTTTAAAATAAGATTAATGATAAATATTTTTATGATAATCGTTTTATCAGTAATCATTTGATTATGTATAATGAGAAAAATCAACTTGAGATTCTAGACGTTTCTTTCCCTTTCTTCCATCATTTATATTATATTTTTCAATTTTGACGCTTGATTCTCTCTTGAAGTATACATATTTGATTTTTTACTTATTTTCATGCTCGATGCATGGACGCATAATCAATAATTTACTGAATCATTTTTCTTGCTCGATATCATTAATACACGCTCAATTGTCTTCCTCTAACCTTCAATACAACATCAATGACTAAGACTGAGACAGTATACTCAATACAACATCGAACGACATATTTAATAATGTACTTAAGTTCTATACAACATTGAGAAATAAGACTTGATATGAATCAACTCTTCCATCACCACTCACTTTTCTAATAAAAACTTTAAAGATATTAGATTATTAATTTTTTTATTTAATTTCTTTTGTTTTCTTGGAGTCATATAATTTCTCTTATAATTTTTTTCTTGCTTTAAATTTATATTTTTCTCTTTCTATATACTCAGTGTTTTTAAATATTAAAAAAATCAATTTATGAGACTAAGTGAACTTTGAATCATTTAACGAATTAAAAAAAATTGAGAATATTACGTTAATATTTTTTTAGTTAAATTAGGTATTAAGATATTTTATTATATTTTAGAATAAGAAAAAAATATTATATTATTAGTTAAGTGAGTAATATTAAAATATTATTAATATTTTGTAATATTTTTAATATATATATATAAAGAGAAAAAATATATGAATAAAATATATATATATATACACGTATATATCTCTTATATCAAAATTATACATGTACAAAAATCTTATAATTTCCCATAATAGTGTCAGACCATTGTCAAAGAAATCTTGAAGACAAAAGATAAGGCTCTTAACTAGGACGAAGAGTTCGGAGACCATTGTCCTAAAATTGAGTTGAGAAACTTCAAATTGAGCTGAAAAAATAAAAATTTGAAAGAGTCTATATTTATCATGAATTTACTTGAAAAGGTCAATAAAATAAAAGGTATTAAAATAAGAAAATTTATTTTTAATTTTCTGAATGAAAAAATTAAGAAAACAAGTTCAGAGGTAAAATTTAAGAAAAATTCTATTATATTAAGAGTTAAATGGAAGATTGTAAGTAGAATAAATGTTATGAAAAAGAAATATTATGATGAGAACAAATTTATTTAAAAGTGATTGGAAAGGAAAAACATGATAATAAAATTAAATAAAGAGATAATCATAAAAATTATAAGTAAAACGAAAAAAAAATATTAAAACAATGAGATATTAAATTCACGAAAAAGAGTTGTAGTTAAATTTAAAAAAAGTTCCATCATAAAATTATAATTTTTTAAATGTACATTGGGTACTTATTGTATTTTCAACATACATGCCGGTAATCATTCTGGCGGAAAATAAATGCATCATTAAGCATTGCAAGAAATTTTGTGAGAAAAAAATTAGTAGTAAATATAAAATTTTGTTACTATTATTTATTTGTGACCATCACAAATCTTATCCACCAAATTGAAATTCATCACCATAATTTCATTAAAAATGATAGCAAATATACATGTAAAAAATAATAAGTCAGTAATATAATTCTAACAGTAAGAACATCATAATAAATAATGAATTTATTGAATGTTTATAAACTAATAGTGATAAAATAATTTTTGCTTTTTATTATTAATTATTAAAACTCACTTAACTTTCATCATTAACCACATACTCTAATACTAATTTAACTATGTAAGTCTTATAGGGGTCTTAATGTCATATTTAATTGATGTATCTATTCAATTTTTAATATTCCAAAAAAATATATTAATTATATTTATATTTTTCTTAATTAATATTTTTATGACTTTTATGCTACAACTTATCTTGTCCTGTGAACATTATTTTTTTAGTTCAGTTCACTAGTACGAAATCACTTTTAACATCGGTATTTTTAAGAACCGATGTAGAAAGTGAATTCAAGACTACATCGGTTCTCGGATGAACCGATGTAGAAAGTCTTTTATAAAATTAAGGGAATTATTACTGGCAAGATTCGAACCAAGTACCTTAGAATTAAAGACTAATACTCTAACCACTAAACTACTAGGATTTTCTAATAATAACTTATAAATAAATTATATTTATATACAAATAAAAATGTATATCCATGTAAATATATAAATATAAAATATATAAATACAAATACAAATATATTTATATATTTATATGTTGGATGTGAAGCACGCTCGAGAGTGAAAGTGTGAGTGGGTTTTCAAAATTTGATGTCAAATTTGTGAGCAAGTCTCTTTATATGAATTTGTAATTTAATGATAGAATATAATCTTTTAATTTATTTATAATAATATAGAATATAATCTTTATAATTAATTTATATAATGATATAAAATAAAGAAAAAAAAATTATTTTATATCATTATATAAATAAATTATAAAGATTATATTATGTCATTAAGTTATAATCCATATAAAGAGACCAGCTCACAAATTTGACATCAAATTTTGAAAATTCACTCGACACACTTTCATCCTCGAGCGCGTCCTCACATCCAATATATAAATATATTTGTTTTTGTATTTATATATTTACATTGATATACATTTTTATTTGTATATAAATATAATTTATGTATAAGTTATTATTAGAAAATTTTGGTAGCTTAGGAGTTGGAGTATCAGCTTCTGACTCTAAGGTACTGGGTTCGAATCTTGTCATGAGGGGTTATGAATAAATAAAATATATAAAATATTTTTCATTATTAGACTTTTTACATCGGTTCCTTACAACCGATGTTAAAAGCCTATTTTGTACGAGTGGTTATAGATCTTGTTTACAGGTTAAAAAATGTTTTTTTTTTAAGTTCACGTTAAAACTATATTGAAATTAGAATAAATAATGTTGAATGAAGTTTTTCATTATAAATATTTTAATTAGTATCTTAAAAAAAATTATTTTAAGCATTATAGATATTGTTTACAGGTTGAAAAATATTTTTATTTTTTATTTTATTAATAAATCAATTTTTTTAAATCATTATTTTTTTTTAAAATCTTATAAAAAATTTATACATACAAGTTATAGAACCATACATAACTCTTTCCTTTAAGCATAGACAGATTATGTGGTTTCTGTTTTTGGCATCTACACTGTTAGCTCAAAGGTAACGAACTTTACTAAACCTAGCAAAATGCTGACTTTCCACTGACCTACTACAACAAACAAAACCCCATGAACATAACCACAGGCACACATTAAGCAATCTTCATTTAATGTACTATGCAAGACTACACCTTATTCTAATTCTGGTTTTTCCCTGTCCCTTCTACCTTACCATATCCTCAGGGAAATATAAAATCATGAGGTGAGAAGCTGTGTGTGATGGATGTGGATTGAAGGGCCCTCAGCTCCCACTGCACCTGAAAGCTGGAAACTCACCAACTCAAGCATTTGGTTTCTATGCACCCTAATGAGAATTCTTTTACACTGAAAACAAATAACATCATATTTAATATAAATCAAACCTTTAATTTCTATATATCATTTAGGTAAAAAAGATTTACACTGTAAATGTATTTTCCATGAAAGTCAGTAAATTTATCATATATATTATTAGGTTCTGATTGAAAAATCACAGTAATATGCACAAATGAACTGTAGATAAAGAAGTTTCAGATATAGGACTTGGCCCAAAGAGTATGTATTGGCCCATTATAGTGAAGTTTTTAAGGTTTGGTGACCTTCCTCCGTTTCATTTTCTTGAGCTTCATTGGCATTGGAGGGTTAATCTTTCGTTTTTCACACATGGACAACCAGAAAACAGACATTTCACCTTTTTGAAAGGCCTCTAAACTAACCAACCCCCTTTGGTTGCCCTTTAAGAAAGTGAACATTTCTCTTCCTGCAGGAGTGATCTTGCTGTCCAAGAGGTGCAGCCATGGCTCCCCTTTGAGAATTACAACAGAACCAAGCCAAAAAAAAGAGAGATCATAGTAAATTTCCCACATAGCAAGTTAATGGAGGTTCAATCTCCTGCAGTGAAACGCCCGTATGACATCACCATGTCAAGAAGAACAAGGAAACAGCAATCTCCAGTGCAAGGCAATGAGAAACCGAAATCAGCAATGGTTGATGTAACACCGAAGGATGTCAAAGTCGCAGTGGAAACTACTCAAACCAATACTATTGCTGGGGTGAAACAAGGTGGTGAGAGTGACCACAAAAGCTTGAAGCAATTGATCATAGGAGATGACAAAGAAGCAAAGAAGGGTAACAATGATGAGCGAAGCAAGGGATCAAGGAATTCACTTGGTGAACATTTCACTGAGGAAGAGAAGCAGCATCTTCAGCTGGTTCGGATTCAACAGAAGGACAACAACCTCCAAGGTTTGAAGTTCAAGAAGTTGGTGAGTCGTTATGCCAAAGTTTTGGGGCATTTGATGAAGGCTAAGCGTGATCCTCATTTAAGTGATGCAGGGAAAAAACCTGTTTTCAAGTTATCAGCCTAGGAAAAATTTTGGGTTTTACTACTGGTGATGTGGTTGGTTCAATCGATCTATTTTCTATGTATTATTATTATTATTATGTGCTTATCATTTGTGTATCTTTCTTCATGCATACATGGCTTGTACTTTATGTATACTAATTGTATCATTCAAACATATGGTCTTAATATGATAGTTTCTATAATACTAGTATCTTCTTGTTACAATTTCATTCCTTTGTGATTAGTTTCCAATTCTTCTATGAACTTCGTTCACACTGTGCATGTAGGTTATGCTCTCTGATACGTGTATCTCAACTCAGAATGCGAAAGCTGTAACATTAAGTTTTGGATGTGTTTTTCAGCTGCAAAGATAAACCTTTAAACAATTTAGTGAAAGAAAAACGGTGACAAGAGATAGAAGAAAGTCTCATGTTTCAAATAAGGATAGAAGATAGAAAAGGACCTTCATATATAGCAAAAACAATTACCCATTTTTTGGTGTTTATCAAAATTAAATTTATAAGTCTCTTTTAATCATTTATAACCAATAAAACTTTTTTTTTCCTTTCTCAAGGTGTCAATTGCCACAACCTTTCTATCTTTGTTTTCAAAGTTTATAAAATTGTAGGGCATTTTTGTTTACATTTCGTGATGTTTAAGTTTGAGTTTAGTGTGATGATGGGAACTCAAGACTAAAGCACAAGTTTTATGTGTAAAAGAAAAAATAATAATAATAATAATAATAATAATAGAGTGGAAATAGAAAGTTTAGAAACTAAGACATTTTGATTAATGTTCTCAACCGACATAAGACTTCAAATGGCCATTTGAGCTACCATCAATTTATAGCCTTCAGAAAGCTAATGCACGTACAAGTCATGCATCGAAACTGACACTTTGACAGCTTCGTTGTTACACATTAACAATTAATGTGGTGTCAAACAAAAATATAAAATCTATTTTTCGATAAATTAAAATCACTTTAGACACGTTAAAAATATTTTTTATAAATATTTGACTTTATTGACTCAGTATTGGTGTGAGAGTTATTATATTAAATGGATTTATTGTATAACATTTAGAGTAAATTATACACATGCTTCTTTAGGTTCTTTGCAATTGCATATATTTTCTGTTTTTTCGTTTCTAACATTTTTTTTCTTAAATGATATACATTATAATATTTTAAAACAATTAAATGAGTGATATCAAATGATTTTATAGCTTCGTAAAGTTAGCTACTGAACCAATCCAAAGTTGTGCCAACTAATTCACGTAAACATTTTGCAATGAACCCCGTCAAATCTCCAATGATTAACATTTGTGCTCTAAATATTTTTAGATCTTACCAATATTCTTAAATCTTACCAACATAAAGAATATAATAAGAAGTGAAATTCGTACAAAATAAAACAAATTTTATTTCATAAATAATTTCACGATACATAAAAAAATGTAATAAATTAAACAGTATTAGAAATAAGCTACTTAAAATATTTGCTTAGATTTATACTAATCATTTATTTTATCCCATAAACATAAAACACATAATTCATGGTAACTATTTTACATTTCAGATCGTCAACAAGAAGTTCACGAAACTGTGAATGTACAATATTTAATCAAATGTGCGCACGTTACATACATTTGACGCAATGTTGTTATAATCAATAACAATTCATTAAATATACAAATATTATGTGTGAAGTTAATATTTTCAGTACTGCTTGAATTTTCCAATGGTAAGAGCTGCTGGAATTTCTTCATGTATGGTACCTTGTGTTTTCTTGTAGGTTAGAGAAAGGTTCATGACTATGTTCAGGGTCACAACTAGACTAATAGTGGTGCTGTCAAAGGCTTGGAAGGATTGTGGAAATCCATTGTCCAAGTTACTACCACCCCAATTAGTGAACATATTGCAGGAACAAGACCCAAACCAAACCTGGTAACTGAGAAAGGAAACTCTGTTGTTGCCTGAAGCTGTGGAGAGATATCTGCATTCATGATTTGAGTAATATAATATAATTAGAAAATGCTATAATTAGTAACAATGCTAAGGTGCTTCTGGGAAAATATTCTTCTTATTTTTACTTTGAATTAATGCATGGAAGCCTTTCTGAACAAAGGCAAAACATAAGGAACTGGGTCATAAATAAAAGAAATTTAAGAAACTTACTTTGGTTTGACTGAAGAACAAATAAAGCAAGCCCACATGAAATTTTGTCCAAAAAGCTCAATGATCCAACAACAAATGCACAACCATTAAGGTTCTCCCCAATCAGAAAATTCTGCATGCTTACTCCAGTGACCTGTTCAAAAAAATCAATGAATACGCACACATTAAAAAACTAATTCACAGTAGTTTGAACTGTGACTACTGGAATTTATGGATGAATTTATAATACTATGTTAATTAAGAAGGTTAAAAAGCTTAAACCAAGATACCATCTTCACCCAAAAATTATAAAAACCTTTCCTTTTCCAGACAAATCCCCCCAATACTGGTGGGTAGACAAAGATAAAAAGAAATGGGTTTTGGTCCCCTCCTTTCCCCACTCCAGAAAAGCACATTATAAGTGTTATGAGGAAGTAAATTGTGGAAAATAAACCAAGTCTCCACTAAAAGGGAGGAATATGTAAATCATTGTTGTAGCATTGACATCAGTGACACTCTACAGCAGTTTAATTTCAAAATTTCTTTCGTGATTAGGATGGTCTACTTAATAGGGATAAATTTGAGCACTTGTTTACTCATTAACTAATGTTGTCATGTCTAATGAACAAGTAAAATAGTCTCAGAACTGTACTGGTAAAACTATGTCCAATATATCAATACAGAGAAATGGGCTTCAAAATATGGAAATAAAGATACATATTTCTTTTACTTTTGTCAATTTAATCAAGTAAAGACCACATCATACCATCATGAGAGCATTGGCTATGCCGATAAATAATGATACTATGTACATGACATAACTCATATTTGCGCTTAAAAGAAGGATCACTGCCCCACAAAAGATCCAAAGAATGCATCCAGCAGAGTAGTAGGCCTTGAGCATTCGACCAGTCCATGCAATCTCCTACAAAGAGGTTATAGACAAATTTAACAATGGATTCGGAGATTGAAAATACAGAAATGTAATACAAAAAGATATCCATCATGTAATGAGGAAACCTGTAACGCTATGGATACAATGAAGCTGCAGATGTATATGAGAGCAGGAACCTATGCCAAACAACGTAAGACAGTGAAATCAGCCATGCCATTATTCAAACTTCAATTATTTAAAGCTCCATGGACTACAATGAATTTGAAATGAAGAAACTTTGTGAAGTACCAAAGCTTTGGCTGATTGGGCCATTTGAAGGTCATTGATGACAAAGAAAGCAAGGTATGCCTGAAAAAGAAGCCATTTCGGTATCAAAATATCCATACATAACATCTTTTCTTGAAAATTCAAATGCTAGAATGAAGTTTAAGTTTTATTTTAATGATGCTTATGAAAGAGTGTCTTCCTCATACACTATATCCAGCATACAGCATAACCTAGACAAATATTAAGCCTCCACTTCCAAGATAATAAATACAAATATGAAAGAATGAAAGAAACAATGCAAACCTGCGAAACATTGAGAACCAATCTTGTGATTACGTAAACAAGAGCAACCTGGTAATACAGAATTCTCTTGAACCAGTAATCCCATGAAATCCTTGCATGAACCTTTCCATGCACAGCCACCTTCAATCTATGAACAGAACAAAAGAAAACCACTTAATCCTAAAATAGTAACTGAACTACTAAAGCATCCAAGTTTACCAGAAATTTGAGAGGGATATAACTGCCATGCATGAACAAGGGTATCGAGGGTTTTGTTTGGTTGAAGTTCTAAAATTATAAGTTCTCTCTTATACCAAGTTCACATTTTCTTCCACAATTCCTCTACAAGGTTGCCATTTAGATTTTAATTCTTTCACTTAATCTAGCTGCAAAGGGGCTATTCAAACATTTGTTTTCCTCGTATCTACCACTGACACATATAACATCTTGATATTGTAAATAGTATGTACAAGGTCATCTTTCCAGACTGCGGTATATCTACTATAATCTGTGAACAGAAAAAGGTTTTAATCCTAGGATAGTGACAGCAGTAAGCCTAGAAGCACACCTGGGCTCTTTGGTTGCAAGAAGAAATACGCTCGCAAAGCAACATCCAATAAAAATAGACAGATATGCAATCCAGCGATACTGCTCATTTGAAGGAATAACAAAGTGGTTATGCTTGACAATAGATGATTAAAGATGGATCCAAATAATTACTAGCATACATACCTGATTTTCAACATCTGTCTTTGTTTTTCCATCAATGACACTGAATACTATCAATGCAACTGCATACAAGCTCAAGTTGGCAACCTTTAAAGAGAATTAATTGCATACATTAGAAATTAATATTAATGCATTGCTCTAGATGGAAAGTTCCCTAGAAGCTTACCATGGTAAAAGCATTGCGACAGCTAGCCAGTGCCACTCTGCTTGTAGAGTTCAGCGTGATGCAGCTCACCATGGACCTTCATCAGAGCAATAAAAAAAGACAGTGGTAAACATAATATTAAATTGAAGGGCTAGGAACCTATTCCTTTTTCATTTGATTCTTCTCTTATCTATGTAAATTATCAGATTAGAGAGTTCACTGGTGTTACTTGGTTTATAAATGAATATTGCCTCGTATCATTCTGAGACTTAGTTACTAAAGTGGTATTCACCTCTAGCAATTAAAGATGAAATTACAAAAATCAAACATTACAATCAATATGCCAACAACGTTACAAGTAACCCGCTACTATTTTGAAATTCAAACTTACAGTTATATTTTTTAGCATGAAATGCAAAAGATAAATTAGAGGAAATTATTACATGTGTGAAACCTGAGTAGCAGCCCATCCCACATTGAAGATTGCTGCAAATACGCTGTAACTCACAGTTTCAAAAGTAGATGAATTGGAACTAAAGATTTTACAAGGTAAACAACCGCCAAAAACAGAAGAAAATGAAATCGCCACCAATGCAGATCCGGCACCATGCCATATCTTGAAGTGTCCAAATCTGTCTATCTATCAAGCAAGGCGAAAGAAATTAGCATGTCAATCAAATTAGCATTTCAAACTTCTTAGATTCTTTATGTTATTTCTAGATAAAATTAGCAATTAGATGAAGATGAAAGTTATTTGAATGGCATAAGTGAAGAATTGCAGTAAACTTGACTGCTTTATGATACAATGAAGGTTTATAAGATAATATCAGGTATGAAGAAAATGATCAAGTACACGCAGCTTTGTCTTCAAAACAAAAGATCTGGGTACTCAGTTATTACACAGGCTAAACTATACACAGTAAGAACCACCTCCCTCCCTCACCCTGTGACACAAGGAGGTATAATAAAGAAAAATGGAAGGCCAAATGAATGTGGTCATTAGTGAAAGAAGCATATATATTTCCCTAGAATTAATAGAGAAAATAAGGCTTGAATACCAGTTCACCAATAAATATAGTGGCAAATCCGTCAGCCACCTGACCTGAAAGCATCACAAGAGCTGCATTCCTATTAAATGGGGAACAGAGAAATGTCAAAAACAAGAAGTTTGGAAGTATCCAATAGATTTTTCTGCAATATCTAATAATAGTATGCTTTTTATCAAGTGGTACAAAATTGAATGTGTGTTAGATCTCGAAAATCATATATAGTATGTTTATCCAAAATAATTGGAGGAATTTATTAGGCCTACTCAAGATGGACCTTCTAATGTTGTCGCAGATCCAAATATGACCAAACGGATGAAGGTGTACGTGAGGAGGAAGAAAATATGTGATTCGTACAGTTATTTTTCAGTTTTAAGTGTAGTGAATTGACACTCTCCTTGGGTTCTTTTGTACTTTCACTACCTGCTATGTTAGAGATGTTTTAGTTAGCAATCAATACCAGTGATTTGTTCTGTCTCCTTTCATTTTGTGATTCTGTTTAGTGTTGCATAATATTGTATAGTTAACAGTCCAAAATAGCATGCAAAATATTTTCCATAGCAGGATATATACATATCACTAGAAGAAGCCCAAGATGTAGAAAATGCCATAGTATGGTAGAATCCTAAATCTAAAGGAATGCAGATAACTAGAAATTGGTACTGGAAAATATTAACAGTAAGAAAAACCAGCACAATGTCAATTTCTTCTAACAGAGCTGAGATCCTTTGAGAGATACTGTCACACCATGGTTACTGCTAACATGGCTACACCTAGTCCCCCCTACTCCATGGTTACATAGTTCATCCCACAGTATGTTCACTACTGGACAAAACTAAAGCATCTATGCCAACTGAAGCCAGTCAACCACATCTTGTTAATACCGATTATCTCTTTTATGGAATAATTGCTATTACAATTTATAAAACCAACATGCTTGTCCACCAATCTAAATATTGTACAATAGTTTAAATGTCAGCTGTTTATTAGAGTAGACTAAGAAAAAAGCATCCCAAGTTGCTTCCACTCAACCTATCAATTGGATTTGTACTGTATCATTAGTTACTTTCCAACTCTTTCTTTTTTTCAACTTTCAGTTACATCAATCAATAAGCAATTAGACAAAAATTAGCCAAACTAGTTGATAAATGGAAAAAAAAAAAAAAATTTAAATGCACCTTGGTGAAAGTCCAATATCTGTCAAGAACAATAATAAATAGGTGAACCAACAAGCTGCAGTTATGTCATTGAGCATGTGTCCCATGCCATAATAAAAGATAGGCCATCTTCCTAGGATCCTGGTATATGTGTCATCTGCTTCAATGATAGTACCCATTGTAGCAACTTTAATAAGAGCTATTACCAAATATAAACCTGCAAGAAATAAATGAAAGACTTTAGCTTGCAATCCTTTACAATTGTTAATGCCATATAGACCACCCAAAAAAATGGGGGAAGCGAAATCGAAGACAAATTTTCCCCCAAAACTCACTCCATCGATTAAAAATGTCAACTTACATGATTAGAAACCACTTCATGACATAGGTTGAAAACAGATCATAATCATTACATCACATATTATACAAGAGAACACTAAACATAGAAAACGAACCACGAAACTCGACCCAACAATTTCTACTGAAGAACAAAGTATCCTTAAAAAGAAACAAATTCACAATACACAACCATTGGAAAATACCATCAAATCCATTCACACCACTCTGAATTAGCAGAAAAATGAACACGTGATTGAGCAGCAACAAAAACCACACCCCAACAAACATTCAAACCCCACCTTTTTCAACACCCAGATTCACAAACATAAATTTCAGAACATTCAAAGAAAGAATAAATGAAGCTACAAACACACCCCGTCACGAAAGAAAGTCTTTCTCACGGTCAGACACACCAAAGAATCCAATTATGAACCCAAGTTGGCTAAAATAGACGAAAGCCCAAGATGTTGACTTCAAAACCCTCTGCAGACAACACAATGATAATGAAGATATGTCACTTATTCAACTATATCCACAACACAATCTATCCTCACCAATAACGGGAAATATAATGTCATGCATATAAAATTGATAGATATTTATGCTCTCAATCAAGAGCAGTTTGTCCTCTTCAGGAGCCTTCGCTTGGCTCAAAAGTTGTGTGCGGTGGAACGGTGCGTTTGTTTGGTGGGAACAAGCAGTTGAAGTATTGAAGTCCTGAAGTGTGAAATTATAATAGTGTCCCCAGGGTTACGTGTGACATGCTCCATCGAATCTAAATGCAAACAAAGGTTGCAATCTTCAAGTGGCGACATACAGGTCAATGGATGATGGGTTTGTATTTAGTTGGATAATCACTTCAATAAGTATTATTTATTTTATATTATATTATATTATATATATATATATATAATTATTTTATCATTAGAGAAAAAATTTAATATATATAAAAAAATTATTAATATAATAATCAAAAAATAAATAAAATTTTAATTATAAAAAAATATAAACACAGCGTATTATCATTAGTATAATTATAAAAGGTTAACAATTTCTGCTCTTGTTTTAGTTTTCTTTAATTTGTTAATAGTTAAACTGTGTAAAAAACTACAATATAATATAAACTTATACATGTTTATTTAGCGTACACAGATTTGATTTTTTGTAAAATTTTAATCACAAGTATAAATTTTCAGTTTTCTAAAATTAATCCATTTTATTTTATTATTAATATATACTATTAATCATTATTAAAATATATTAACATATTTATCATAATATTAATATATATGTATATATTACAGTTAATTATCAAGTATAATAATATTTAAAAACAAATAAATAATTGATATTATAATTAATTATCAAACATATAATTAATTGTTAATGCCATTTTGCATTAAACATTAAACGAAATCAAAATTAATTAATTTTAAAAACATTAAAAAATTATATTTATAATTAAAAATTCAAAAATAACAAACTTATATATATTCCTAAAATTATAGTTACTAAAAATGTATTTAAATCTAAGATACAAATTATTTATTATTGAAAACAATATAACTAACACTATTTTAAATCTTCAATACGAATATTGGTGTAATAGTTACTACTGAATAACGCGATTAATGAAAAAACATATATCTATATTTTAAAATCTTATATTTTTTATTAAATATAATAAATTATTTATAATTTCAAATATAAAAATTATGTAAATTTAATAAAAACTATAGGGGATGAAAGCATAAATTAAAATTAGAAAAATTGTATGTCCAGATAAAAAAACAAAGTAAAAAAATATGCATGCTAGTGAAAAAAAAATTTTTAAATAATATTTTTTATTTTAAATAACTTTATTTAATTTTAAAAAATTTAAATATAAAATTTATAATAAAATATGTATTTTTATTCTTAAAATATTCTTATATTTCAATTACAAAAATAGGAAAAAAAATTGTTGTATGAAGTTTGAAGAGCATGCTAGTTTGTGAGGGACAGGGAATGCACACAAGACACTGCAGCATTCCCAACTTGCCTCCATTAATGTCAACTTCACAAGCAACAAGAGAAAATATATTAATCCTTTTTTTTATAAATATTTTTAATAAATGTATTCATTTTTTTTTCTACCCTGTTTTAGGGGACCTTACCCGATCACCAACCAGTTTGACACGTTGTTTAGTTCTACCTGTAAACTTTTCGGGTTCCCAGAGATTATTAAAATAATTTGAGTTTCCAGAAAATTAAAATAATTTATTTATGCTGGATGCGCATTTTCAGAAACAACATTCCGAATCAGAATCTAAATTATTTAAAACAAAAAATCATTGCATAATGTAATTCTTATTACGAGTATTTTAAATGAATTATATAGGATGTTAAAAATAAATTATATTAGGCATTTTGGAATTCTGATATAGAATATATATACTTCTTTTTCTTGAATGTCTCCGAAATGTATATTTTCAAAACTATTTAACGTATGTTAAATATTTTTTTTAAAGTGCAAGAATTTTAAAAGATTTGTGTCACTGTCACCAATATTAATGAAAAAATAGGTTAAGTCCTAAGTAGATTGGTTCACCCGAAAAATAATAGAATGGTTTGCTATTTATTTTATTCCGTCTCGTCTAAAACTTAGCGGGTTAAAAACAGTGAATGAAATGACTTTAAAAATAATATTTATATATTAAAATTAAAAAATATATATAATTTAAAAATACATTTTTTTATGTTATACTATTAAAATATATAAATATGTTATAACATTATAATTTAAATTATACAAAATAATCAATAATTAAAAAGTTTTAATTATTTATTTTAATACATAAATATAATAATTTTTTAATTGATCTAATAAAAATATTAATTAATAAATAAAAACTTTAAAACTATTCATATAATTAAAAATATTTTTTTTAAAGTACATATAAAAATAAATTATTAACGGAACTAGGGTCTATAATTTTTTTTATTATGTCAAAACGAGGTAGGCTAACTCATTTTATCATCTCTAATTATAAATAGGTTTTTACTTCATGCACCTCCATATCTTAAGTCAAAGATCTAAACCATCATTTCTATAATTTTATTTTTTATCCTAACTTCTTCTTTTATTTGTGTACTTTTAAACCTTTATCTCTCAGCACCTCCATCCTTTTGATATTTGAATTTTTTGTGTTATTACCGCAGTTGAAGAAGGTTATTTCTAATAATTAAAGATAAATAATCACTAATATTATGTATGAATTACATGTTTCTATATTTAAATTACATAAATAGATTTAAATTGCTCAATTTAAAACAATATTACAAAAAAAAGGTTGAGTTCTAAAGAAGTCAATTCGAAAATACATTTTGAATTTGGTCTCTTGGAACGTGTTTTCAAAAAAACTAATGCGAAAATGCATTTCGAACATCAAATCCAAAATGTACTTTTTGATTGGTCTTTCCAAAAATCCATTCTAAGTTAGATATTAAAAAAAAAAAAAGAGGAAGATGAATATAAGTGGAAGGATAAAATAAATTTTAAAATAATTATGGGGTGCATGAAAAAAAAATTATAAGAATGCGAGAAGCAACTGACCTTATAGATAAAAGATGGACTTTTTTTCATAAATAATACTGTTTTCAAAAATATTTACCCAAATAGCACCTCTGCAACTTTATTTACACAACTAGCACTGTTTACTGTTCACTTAATAAAATAATATTATTTCGCACAACTGTTCACTGTTCACTGTATTAAAATAATATTACTTCGCGTACTGAACTCTCGCTCAAGCGAAGAAAACCTTCGCTTGAGCAAGAAAACCTGTAACAAAGGGTAGTCTGGGGTAAATTCTCGCTCAAGCGAAGGTTTTCTCGCTTGAGCGAAAAGTATGATCGACTATTATCCAATTATAGTCGATCACTTTGACATATATGACTTTAGATAGCGGTTATTTGTCCAACCGCTATCTAAACTACTACATTAGATAGCGGTTATTTGCCCAACCACTATCTAATATAGTAGTTTAGATAGCGGTTGGCCAAATAACCGCTATCTAAAGTGACTCAAGCGAAAATCACACCGCTTGAGCGAGGACACCTGGAAACAAGGGGGACTCTCGTTATATACGAAATGGGGAGCTACGGATAGAAGCTGAAGTACATTCCTTTTATTGATGTATGAAAAGCTGTAATGTTTATATACGGTAGAAATAACAAATAACGAGTAGAACGGAGAACGTGAACAAAACGAGAAAAAAAGCTGAAAGAAACTCATGCACGTAATGCATGCCCCATGCACATAATACCCATACACGTAACTACCCATCATGCATTTTGACTTAAATCTCAACATGCCTACTTAAGTCAAAGCTGAACAATTCTCGAGACACTCTACGAGTTTACAAAATCTAGCGACCTTCAAAGGCTTTGTAAAGATATCTGCACTCGATCTTACATGTCTGCGGTGTTCTATTTCAAGCTTCTTATCATTAACTCTGCTCTCTCAAGAAATGAAACCTCTCTCAAGAAATGAAACCTCATTTCTATATGTTTGCTTTTTCCATGAGTCGATGGGTGTTTAGCTAAGTCTATTGCAGACTTATTATCAACAAACAATGTTGGTGGTTGGACCAATTCGCATTCGGCTCCTTCAACGAGCATCCTGAGCCATGCGGCTTGACATGCGGCATCGTGCAGCGGCTATATACTACGCTGACGGGAGGAGAGAGCTACCACGAGTGCAGTGTTACACGGGTATCTTAGACTTCCAATGATTCTGCGAAACTCTGTGTGATCAACATCTTCCTCCTCGGTGCCCCTTTCTAATCTCGGACCCATTTCAGTTGGAGTTTCTTGCAACATTGCAATTCTTCATCCCGAACCTGCTAAGAATATCACGTGAGTATTTCATCCGATGCATAATAGTTCCAATGCCTGTATACCTTGTGCTCTTCTCCTTTGACTATGAATCCCAATGGTCGTGTTACATATATTTCCTCCTCCAAATAGCCATTTAAGAAGGCGATTTTACGTCTAGTTGGTGGAAAGACCAACCCTCCAACCATGTTTATATCAGTTAAAACATTTTACAAACATTTTCTGAGAGTGATTCAATCGATTGATTTACTTTAAAACTTTCTTATAAAACTTTTCAAGTTATTTTAATTGATACGAAGAAGTTTTAATCGATTAAAAAGCTGCACGAGAATTTTTCTAAGTTGTTTTAATCGATTGAAACGCGTTTTAATCGATTGAAACTCCGTACAAAGTTTTTCCAAGTTATTTTAATCGATTGAAATGAGTTTTAATCGATTGAAATAGGTCTGATCGGTCATAATTCAATTCTGATCGATCATAACCACCTCTGATCGGTCATAATTTCATTCTGATCGATCATCCTGACTTCCAAAGTGGTTTTAATCGATTAAAAGAAGTTTGTATCGATTAAAATACTGTAAAAACACTTCTTTAAACATTCTAAGTCTGCGTCGCTCGAGCGAAACAGAACCCGAGAGTCCCCCTTGTTTCCAGGTGTCCTCGCTCAAGCGGTGTGATTTTCGCTTGAGTCACTTTAGATAGCGGTTATTTGCCCAACCGCTATCTAAAGTAGTAGTTTAGATAGCGGTTGGGCAAATAACCGCTATCTAATGTAGTAGTTTAGATAGCGGTTGACCAAATAACCGCTATCTAAAGTCATATATGTCAAAGTGATCGACTATAATGGGATAATAGTCGATCATACTTTTCGCTCAAGCGAGAAAACCTTCGCTTGAGCGAGAATTTACCCCAGACTACCCCTTTGTTACAGGTTTCCTCGCTCAAGCGAAGGTTTTCTTCGCTTGAGCGAGAGTTCAGTACGCGAAATAATATTATTTTAATACAGTGAACAGTGAACAGTTGCGCGAAATAATATTATTTTATTAAGTGAACAGTAAACTAGTTGTGTAAATAAAGTTGCAGAGGTGCTATTTGGGTAAATATTTTTGAAAACAGTATTATTTATGAAAAAAAGTCTAAAAGATGCATTTGAAATTAAAGTTTTAGTATTCAGGTTTAGGTGAACAAATAAAATTATAGCAGTTAAAAACAAATAGACCAAAAACATTAGATACATTTGACACAATTGGTTTTTTTTTGGGAAAAAGGCTTTTTTGGGTAGGTAGCCCAAGCCCAAAAGAATCCATAGATCCTACTACTTGCAACCCTTATTCTTGAACACCATAAATAAATTGTTGGACACCTATTCTTTCTGGAATGAGTTCCTATTTGTTATGAAATAAATTTTTTCCAAATATAAAAAACTACATTTATTTTTGTCACTGTTTCATAACCCTTTGAATTACTAACTACAGAACCTACTGTGTTTCTATTTATATTACTAACACATTGAGATAAATTTGAGTTTTTATTTTTAAAAATATATATTATTTGAGAGTATAATAGGAGTGCTTGTGGAGAGGAATTTTTTGGCATATTGCAGAGTGTATCTTATTTTATGGTATTGTAATTTGTAACATTTAACAATTCACGATTCATATTTAATTTCTGCGGTTAACATTAATTACGTTGTAATTGCATTAGAATATTACAAGGACATAAAAACATACATACTGAGACAAATGTATACTGAAATTGATGTTGTATTTTCCTTCTGTTGGGGCAGAAGAGCATGTGATGTGACAATTCTGCGCACTTTCCTTGAAAAAACGATGATCAAAGGGAAAGATTCTCTTTCAGAATCTTCATGTCATAACCTACGATCCCATTTCCTCAACAATTCTCCATCCTTGCCTTACCATCAACTTTGGGTCACCCTTCCTCGTTACATTGCTCAACAATCACTTCTTAAACTTCTTTTATATCAATAATTTTTTTTAATTTATAAATAAAAGTACATATTTTAGTGAATTTACATATGAAAAAAATGAGTTTAAAATTTTTATTTATTACAATTTTATTTTTAAAAATGAAGAGAATAATGTATATAAATTATTATTAAATTTTATTATCAGGTGACGTGAGATTGACAAATATACCGTAACACTATTATAATTTAAAATTTTAGATTAAAAATGATACAATGTGTTTTCAATTGATTTATATGTCATTAGTATATATATATATATATATATATATATATATATATATATATATATATATATATATATATACTCCTCAAAATACTAACATAAATTAAGAGAATCTTTCTTAGATTATCTCTTAATCAAATCTAGAATTTGAATTAGGAGATATTATACTGCAATAATGTAATAATATTATTATTTTGTATTTAAGTAAAATAGATTACTGGATTTTATTTCACTTAAATTAAATTATATATATATATATATATATATATATATATATATATATATATATACTGTTTAAACGTATAATGTTGGGATCTTCACGTGCTTAATAAAGCTACTTTTTAAGAAAATTAAAATATCAAATATTTAATGAAAGCTATTTTTTTAGAATGGATAATAAATTATATAGTTTATATGCAATTTACTTATAATTTTTTTCTGTGTTTGATGACAACTATATGTTTGCAATAGTATGTTAAGTTAAGAGAAACCCCTCCTTCGAAGTAAGATCCTTCACACCCAATTCTATTTAGATTTTGTCAAAAACTAAACACAAACATTCTTTTCGATAAAATTTAGATTTAGATTGGTTAATTATGCTATGAAAGATTAATTACTTCTAAAATTTAAGATGTAATCAAACATTAAATATATGTTATGAAAAAAATAATCACTTCCAACCAAGCATCTTGGTCTAATCGTGAGCACAAATTAGTTATTGATTATTGGCTTTAGCATGTTATTGGATGAACATATTCATTGAAAAAGAAAAAGAAAATTTTGTTAAATTCATCATATCCTGTTGCTATTCCCTTTTGAGTTTGGTTCTTACCAGTTACAAACTAAGTTTAAGAATTCCTATGATATGACTAAATACCATAATTCAGAAGGTACTCAAATCAGTGCTTACTTATACACAAAGTATCTGTTTCTAAAAACTGAAACTGATATAGCTTCATATATTTTGCAAGAACACCATAACCCTCTTGAACAAAAATAGAAAATAAATACACAAAAAAGTGATGTAAAAACCCTGAGGACTCACTAAATGACAGTAATTACAAAGAAAGATCCATGCACATGTGATGGTGAAAACTAAGGACCTCACCCAACCCTTTTCACCTGCTGAGGAGAGGAAACCACCGTTCTTGGAAAGAAGACTGGTAAGAGACCATGAAGAGAACAAGAACAAGAACCAACCCAACACCCCAAGGAGTTCCACTAGCTCTATGCAGCGACTCTCTCTCTGGCAAAGGAAGCAGCGAAGACAAGACCCCTCCACCTCCTCCATAGTTGGAAAGGAAGTGCACAACTAGCAGAAGCAGCAGTGGAGAAACCATCAGCACCAACTTCACTTGGTCCATGAAGCTCTCCATTATCGGCTCGTAGCTTGAGTACCATGAGAAACCAAGGAACATGAACAAGGTAAGCAAGAAGAAACACAGGTGCAGAGGGAGAGCAGGTTGAGAATTTTGAGAAGAAGGGTAAGCCATTTTTCTCTCACACAAGATGAAACTGTGTGGTTGTTTGTAGCAGTTGTTGTTGTGAATTGTTTGTGGGAGAAAGTTGTGCAGCAAACAAGGTTTTATATAGTTATTAACATACTAAAACTGTTGTTTACATTTTAAGTAAAAAGTCTTAAATTTTCTTTTTGACTTTTAAATTAGAACCTTAGTAAAATTATACTTGAAATGGTAACTATAGTTAGATTCCAATATATAAAGAAACCAGTGGAAATTTATAGAAAAGTTGTTCAAATGAATTTGGACAAGATTTGTTTATGATGAATATTTAATAGGTTAAGAAAAATACGTGACTTTTTAAGGTTTGTTTATGGCCAAAGGATGTGCTTTCTCAGAAACCAACGTCTTTGGCAGAAATGTTGTGGGGGTCGGTGAGTTTTATAAGGTAGTGGTTTATTGATAACAAGGTAACAAATGAGAAGCTGCCACGTACGACCGACCAGGACCAATATTGAGATGACTTTTCTTGCTTTATGGCAAAATGATGAGCCATTTTTATAATAAGTAGCAGAAAGGAAAAAGAGTGTGACTCACCCCAGATTTTAACAGTGACATGATTAATTTTTGAAGTTTATAACTTTTATGAGATTAAATTAGTGAATGAGTTTTAGGAACATGATTAAAGAACAAATACAAGTTCAAAAATTCAATTTAAAAAATCATGTTTAGGAACATAAAGACAAAACCTAAAAATAATAAGTAGTTTAAAATCTGTGTATTATATTTTCGTCAGAATGATTTTTTCACCTTTATAATTATATAACAAAGTTTAATATAAACTTTTGTCTATATTTTCAAATTTTCCATATACAAAAATGAGAAAGTTTGGTATAAATTATGAAAGAAAGATTTAATGGGTATGTTTAGTTCATAGAAAAGAATACACAAGATAAAAATTTGTGGAGTGAAGAAAAAAATGTTTAAAAATGATTATTTAGTAGGATACAAATAAGGAAAAAAAGTAGTAAGAAGGTGTTTTGAAAGTTGTTTAATTTAATTAATTGAATGGATCCCACCATTTTTTTTACTTCTCTTCTATTAACCTTGTTTCTTTTTTTACTTTTAAAAGTACTTTCCAGTTTTTTAAATTTTTAAACTAAAAATTTGTTTAATAATTGTTAAAATAGTTTTTGAAAAATATTTTTATTTTTTAGTTTTTAAAAACTAAAAAAATATATGTTTTTATGTAATTTTAAATTTTCACTGATATCAATATTTTATTCAGTAACTACATTAAATCAATTACTTTCATTATTATAAAACTATGAAAATTATTTTTTTAATTTCCACTACGATTTTTATGGTGTTCTTTCGATTAAAATAATTTTTAAAAATAGAAAACTATTAAACAATTTTTTTAAACTTAATTATAAGAATAATTTGTCAAAATAATCTCTAAAACTATTTTTAAAAACTAAATCAAACGAATCTTTCCTTTTTCTGTTAAAGAAGACTTTAATTTAATTAAAATTAGTGAAAGACTAAACAACTAGATTTGAAATTTGGTGTGATGGGCGAGTGATTTGAGCATGCAGGGTAGATTTGTGATGAGTGTCAATGTCATTGACACTGTTTTTGTTGATTAAATTAAGTGCAATGAATGAATTAGTGAGGTAATAAAAAATGTTTTTATGGGGAGTTGGGAAGGGTGGTTATTAGGAGTGAAGACCCTTGTTTTGGCTGCTATATATCTCCATGATTTTGAATTCCATGAGTGAGTGAGTGAGGGAAGATTATTTTTTTTTCTAATTTTAAATAATTTTTATTAAAATATAAGATTCGTAATAAAATATTTATTTTTATTTTTAATCATTTGACAACTACTCTAAGAAGAATTTTGCAAGACACATTCATGCAGAGTCTTAAGGTTTAAGTAATTCTTCTTGTCATCTCGTGCACCATTATTTGTAAAGTTGGCCACCACTTCTACTTCAATTAAAGGGAATAAGGGCCCCACTCAAATCCAAACATCTTCTACTCTTATAAGATTCGGATTATTTCTAAATAACTAAATTTTAACTAATAAAAAAACTAAAAAAATCAATATAAAATAAAAAAAACTAATTGAATTTTTAGATAAACCAGTTTTAATAAAAAAAATTAAAGATAAATTAATTTTTAATATACTTTTTTATAAAAAATATAATATATTTTAGTTTTTCTTATCTTATATTATTTACATTAATTCGAAATAATATTTATTTTATTATATTTTTTATTTTATTTTAATTATCATTCATTTTATATTTTCTAGTATATTTTATATTTATAATGTTTATTATAATTTATTGTGACCATGATAATAAATTTTATTAATTTTAAAAAAATATTATTATTAATAAACTTATTATATATTTATTTTATTATAAAAAATATTATTTTATTAAATTTGATTAAATCCTAAACATTTAAATTCTAAATTCACGTCTTTACCAAATTCATCCATCGATCCAATTTTAAAAACCCCTTAACATCTTCACATACAAATAGAGAGTGCTGCATGTTATTTTATTGGAATAATTACATTTTTTTTTACTTACGTCTATTTTATAACTCCTATTTAAAGGTATAATAAATAAATATAAAAATTTAAGGATTTTTTTCTATAAAAGCTTTAACCTAATATTTCTGTAAATAAGTTTTTCGAGAAAAACTTAACTTATTTAGGCCCTTAATCAACCTCCCATTCTTATTTGTTCCCTAAACCAAACTACAGAAATCACTCTTTTACTTCTTCTCTCTTCTCAGTTCTCATTTCTCATTTCTTCCCTTCCATTATATATTATTATTGGACCGGCCTTGACATAAATAATATTGGGCCAATTGATAAGCCCACCTCAAGTTCCATGTGTTACTAGTTTTTTTGTATACATATTCTTTATATTAATTGAACCCCCTCAATTTATTACTGCACTCCCCTTTCATCCTAATTCTTCAGCATCCCAAAAAACACAAGTAAACAAACAGAAACCATGACCAAATATTTACTTGTTTGGATAATTTTTTTCTCACATACGCTAAGAAAAGAGATGAAACGAAAAGTATTAAGTTAATTTCTCCATAAATTAAAATTATCTTATGGATAAGTAAATTTGAAGAAGAATTCTTAAAGAATTTCACTCAATTCTTACTTTTTAACTTATACATAAGCTAAAACATTTTTTGAAAAATTTATCCCCCGACATGTGATACACCCATACATTACTTGCTAACGAGGTATAATATTTTTTCTTGAAACAAGCATGAGGCAATTCAAACTCTTCTTTTAGAATTATTATTCATACAACTTTTTCAAATAATTACTTTAGCACAAAGAAAAGTAATCTTTGTTTTTTCTAGCTTAATAAAGTTCGAGTTTTTAAAAAGTCTCTATTTTTTTTTATTAATTTTATAAATACTTTTAAAACTTTCCTTTACACAAGTTTTTTTTTATCTTAAATTAGTTCCTTAATTATATGATAGTGATTGAAAATAATAATTTATATATTACAATAATAAAAACAAAAGGATAAATATTTTACATAAAGTAAAACAAAATAGTAATAACCCAAAAAGTGTTATAGGTTTTTGTTTCTATGTGCACTAGTATTATATTCTCATTCTCCTTTTTTTTCATCCTTTTCTTTTCTTTACATGCAATATAGAACAATTTTATATCAATCAATGAAGCGAACCAAAATAGAAGAAAAAGTGTTATCAATATTATTAACAAGTGATTAACAATATCAATTCTAAATTATCATTGTTTATATTTTCCTTATTATCAAATTATTTTTAATTATTTAATTACAAATTATACTTTAAATAGACGGTCTATTTTTGAAAATATTAAAGCAAACTCCTTATTCTGCCGTTCTCTTTCTTCTTTATCTTTCTTCGGTCACTATTATAGTTTATAATTTTGTTTTAATTTTCAAAATAAATATGATTTTTTTTATTTTATTTTCAAATTCAAGTATAAATATAAATGCTTAGAGGTAAGTTTGGTAGAAAAAGGAAGAAAGGAATGAATGAGTGGAAATAAGAGAATTTAATAGGAAAGAAACTTAAAGAAAAAAAATGTGAAAAAAGAAAGTTGGTAGGTTCTACATTTTTCCCTTGTTAAGCCAGGGAAAAAGTAAAAGAAATAATTGACTTACAAAAGTGTAAACAATTATATTATTTAAAGTACACATTATCCATTAATTTATAATATCATAATGAATTATGAACACTCAAATCAATTAAAAAATTGTTTAGTTTTTTTAAGCATTATATTATAATAGAAATTAATAATTTTAAATTTTGTTTTTTACTACTTTTTTTCATTTCTCTCTAATCAAACATCTGTTTTCGCCACCTACCTTTCTTTACATTTTTTTTCTTTCTTTTTCTCTTCCACTTCCTCTACTTCTTTTCTCTCAATCAAACATCCCATATCCTATTCAAACTATATACAATATCATGGATTGAAACTTTTTTCGTACAAGATTCATATTTATAAAGAGTAATGAACAAAATGTTGTGCAACCATTATCTTATCTGATGATTTGATGCTAATCATTTTGAAGTGGCCTGTATATACTAGACTGATAAAGAAAACAGATATTGTAATCTTTTATTTCTTTATTCGTTTCTTTCCAATATACTCCTTAATCATTAATTGGTTTTCTTTGTTGACTAAAGCTAAAGGCGTCATATTTTATGAAGATTTGTTTAGAATAGGTTTTTCTTTATATCTCATTAATATGGTTTTCTTTATTAAGACCAAAGCTAAAAGCCCAGTAGACATGCAAATATCAAAGTCTTTCTATACATTAATTTTGAGTAATAATACAAAATAGCAGAAATTTTAGATGGTTAATAGACTATAGTAGAGTATGAAGTACTGACCTCTATATAGTTCTGACTAATTTTCTTGAAGAATCCTTCTTGTAAAAATAGTGCTATACATAAGTGGAATATGATCCACTTCATCATTTGACATCCAGGAGAATCCACTTTCTATACTTTATCATGTAGGCAGGGCTGTCTCATGGCTGATCCAAACTAATTGACATTTGCAGAGAAATTCATCCAGAAATTTGATTTAGAATTTTTGCTAAGGATAATGGTCATAAGACTGCTTTACTTAACAGTTTGGACTATTTTCTTGATGGATCAATATTGTTATGCCTCTCGTGCATAGATGGAATATGATCCATTTGATCATTGACATTCCAGGGAGAACCTCTTTGTGACTTTATTCTTGATACCCCCATTTAAGCATGGCTTTCTCTCAAGGCTGACCTACACTGAAATTTTTGCCCATCTCCATATTCGTGGCTTTTAATGTCATACACATGACTCTTTTACTTTGCCTCTTCCTTTTATTTTCTCTTTACACGTTCCCTTTCTCAAAATTTCAACCATTTTATAAGCAGATACCTAAAACCATTGAAGGGGCAACAAAGATTAGATAAGAACGACAGCCAAACACCACAGGATCATGATCTGATGGTGCGAATAGCGTTGCTTTAGTAAAGGAGATTTAGACAAATTTCTGTAAAGAAGCATAAATGAAACTTTGTTTCGAAAGCATATAAGCATGTAAAAGATATAAAAGAAATGTAATGCACAAGAAAGAATACCACCATTTGCATAACTTTAAAGATCTATACATATCAATCTCATAGACCCCGTCATCACCTCAGCTCAACAAGTAAAAGCCTAAAATAATGTAATGAAAAGTTCACAGCATATATAGAAGTGCCCAACCAAATGAGTAACTAAGTTACAAATCAACATTTTCAGTAACAATCTAATGATATACTTTCATTTTTGTGCTATAGTGGATTGAAATCTAACATTGTCACGGTTGCTATGGTATATACAGACTATAAGTACAAGGGTGAAAATAAGAAAAACCTGAAGAGGCTATTATTTTTAAGAAAAAAATATCCAATGGGTCCATGCAAAAAGATATAGTGAATATAAATTTAAGCAGTGGTTTCGTCCGTACCAATTCGAACAGATACGGTGCAGTACAGTAAAACATGAAAATCATCACTAGCACATAATCATCCCCTTATTATCATCTCCAACTTGACACTCATCATGAGTGACTGATGAGTTATAATAATTCATCAGAACATTCTCTGACCTCTGAAGGCACAAATTACTATAACAATTGGGAAAAAGATAAAGTGCGACTTGTCAAGAAAGAAACAAAAGCAGCTTCAATTCAACGAGATCCACTCCATACTATTCCCTAACAAACCCCGAGTGTCAGCATGCGCGCGCCGCCGTGATTCACTGCTGTTTGAGGACTATCTCTTGAAGACCTTTACTAAAGCTAGCTGGCGCGTGTGCATTGTAGAATTATGGGCATCAGATGCAACTTAAAGACCAAGATGCTTGCAAAAATTGATTGAATTTTAATGAATATACCAAAAGTCCAATAATATTGAACAAGTAAATGAACCCTCAAGGTTTTAAATTGGTATCAGTAATTGTTGCTGAGAATAAATTTTGTATACTCCAATTATTCTTGTTAATTTTTTTTCAAGATCATCAGTATTTTTTTATTAGAGATAATTGGACTTAGGAACATTTATAAGCTCTAACTCTTAATGATTTATTTTCTTTTCATTTACTAAATTGAGATCTTATTAATAGTTATAACCTATTAATGTAAATCTTTTCAATGACTAGTGTTAATCTGACATTTTTTTTCTAAGAACATACAGACAATCCGAACCCAAAACATTTGTAGGCTCTAACTCTTTCAATGAGTTTTTATTTTTTCATATTCAAATACCAAATTCATACTTTATTTAAGAAAAATCAGAAACATATTATCTGAAGCAGCAATTTATTAGTCTATTCATTTGACATTTAATATTTATACATTAAAGACGTGTACAGAGAGAAAAGAGAGAACTATCTTCCTTTGGTAAATCAAAAGTTCAGTAAGTTAAGTCCCAAAAATTTACGAGAGTGAAGAGAGATCTTAATAAAAGAAAGCATATAAAGATAATTAAATTATTTACAAACAAAAGCCCACATCTCTGAGAAATATGAATATATGATCGATATCAACTACACTAACTTTTAATACATTAGTGGATATGATATAACTGAGGGAGAGATAGCAAAAAAGTAAGAGTGCCCATATACCATTCATAACCCATGAAAGGAGCATGTAAGACAGTTTTTATATTTTTTTTTTCAAAAGTTGATGGATGGATCATTGATATGTCTCATATTCTTCATTCTTAATATGACAGCTTTTTATTTAAAAAGAGTAAAATAAATTAGTCGCAGTACATAACTTCAACGGAAGGAGTATGCAAGACAAAAAAATCCATAATTATTTGCAGAACAAAATTACAACTGAAACAACTATATATAGATGCATGCAATTATCTTTTATTTCGACACAACTGCAACGAAAACCACGATATATAAATCCATCCTCACTACATACAGCAAGTAGTAGCCAATGCAACAAGAGGGAAAAAAATAACTATTGAAAGTTTTTCTTTTGGTCCATAACAAGTGAAAGGTTGAAGCTGAAACTTTGGCAATTGGCAAACCATTGAATTTTTGTGTGATTTTGGTGTTTGAGCCCACAAAACGAACTGAACCGTTCAATCGATTCGATTCCAAAGCAGAAAAAAAGCAACAAAACTAAAGACGGGACCTTTGGTGTAAACAAAAATCTGCATTTTCTGAGATTCTGTACGCATTGCAATGTATGTGTAGCGGCAAGGCTATGGCCATAAACCCCCCAAAAACTCAATTATCACATTCTCACATCTTCTTCAAACGAACAAAGGAAAAAGCAAAAAGCAAAGTGGTCGGCTTCATCACCATCTTTACCTTTAACTTTTGCCTACTCTACCATATGCCCAACCCAATGCTTCTTTTTATCAGAACCATGTTCCTGCTTTTACGCACAGTATAAGAACCTCAAACCCAAACCATTCAATTCCATTTTCCAATTTCCACTTTCCACCAATTCTCAATTAAGCAAACACTAAATCACACAAAAATGGAGATATTATCTCAAATGTGGTCTCTGTTAGGGTTACTCACCGTGCTCCAAAACGTTCTCCCATCGCAGCTTCTCTCATTGCTCCATTCCTTATACGAATCTCTGCAAGATCTGCTTTCTCCATATTCCTACTTCGAGATTCCAGAGTTCAACGGCTACTGCGGTGTCGACCTCAACGACCTCTACCGCCACGCACACCTCTACCTCAACGCGGCGAACCACGCCCCCGCCTCAGCGTGCCGCCGCCTGACACTCTCTCGCTCGCCTTCTTCGAACCGCATCTCCTTCGCCGTCGCGCCAAACCACACCGTCCACGACACCTTCCGTGGCCACCGCGCTACTTGGACGCACCACGTGGAGACCGCGCAGGACTCGCTCGAGGAGAAGCGCAGCTTCACACTCCGCCTCCCAAAGCGTCATCGCCACGCGCTCCTCTCCCCATACCTCGCTCACGTCACGGCACGCGCCGAGGAGTTCGAGCGCGTCTCGCGCGAGCGCAGACTCTTCACCAACAACACCACCGGGTCGGGCTCTTTCGAATCGGGTTGGGTCTCCGTCCCCTTCCGTCACCCCTCTTCCTTCGAAACTCTCGCCCTCGAGCCCGAACTAAAGAGACAAATAAAAAACGACTTAACGGCGTTCGCTGACGGGAAAGAGTTTTACAACCGAGTGGGCCGGGCCTGGAAACGTGGGTATCTACTCCACGGCCCACCCGGGTCGGGTAAATCAAGTTTAATAGCCGCTATGGCAAATTTTCTCTGTTACGACGTTTACGACTTGGAACTAACGAAAGTCTCTGATAACTCCGAGTTACGGTCGTTACTAATCCAAACGACGAACCGTTCAATTATTGTTATAGAGGACATTGACTGTTCCGTTGACTTAACGGCAGACAGAGCAATGAAGAAAACGCAGGCAGCGAAATTGTCGTTGAAGAGAAAGAAGCCTCAAACGGCGTCGTTCACGCACTGCGAGGAGAGTGGGCGAGTCACGCTTTCAGGGCTCTTGAATTTCACCGATGGGTTATGGTCTTGTTGCGGTGAAGAGAGGATTGTGGTGTTCACTACGAACCATAGGGATAGTGTGGACCCCGCGCTCGTGCGGTGCGGGCGCATGGATGTCCACGTCAGCCTCAACACGTGCGGGGTTCACGCGTTCCGCGAGCTCGCCCGGAACTACCTCGGTGTGGAGTCGCACGTACTGTTTGAGGCGGTTGAGGGGTGCATTCGCTCGGGTGGGTCCCTCACGCCCGCACACGTGGGAGAGATTTTGTTGCGGAATAGAGGGGATGCTGACGTGGCGATGAGGGAAGTCCTGGCAGCAATGCAGGGACGGATGCTTGCCGTCGCCGCCGTCGCCGACCAGACGGACAACGAGGAGACGATGGTCGGAGTGAGGTCGCCGGAGAGCGTGCTGCTGATGGGGTCGCCGGAGAATTGGGACGCGTTGAGTGGAAAGAAGAGGAAGGAACAAAACGGGGGTAATAACAATTGGGACAAAAAAGTCAAGTTTTTCGTTAGGTTAAGGTCGTTGACCAGATCAGACCCAGGTAGATAAAATTTAATTGTATTTTTTTTTTTTGGAGGGAAAGACAAAATTTGGATGAATGTAGCTTTGTTTGTGTTTTTTTTTTTTTTTTTTCTCGTAAAACATATATAAGTGTTTGACTCGTGTTCTTAATGTTTTGGTTTGTCGACGAACCTTGATCAAGCAATCATTTTCGTGAGAATTGGCTTTCGGGAAGTAGCACCACACACTTACATACGACTAGAAAAAAATTCAAATGATTATTATTTCTTCTTTTTTCAACAAAGTTGATTGATTCAGTTGTCATAACTAACACTTAAGTGCAACCAAATCATTTAAATCTTTTTTAAAAAATACTTTTCATGAAAATCTTAAAGAAGTCATAAAATTATAATATTTTTTGTCCAAAGTTTTGCTTATATTAAAAAGTAAAAAAGTACAATATATAATTCTAACAACAGTTGTCAGATTTTACACGATTAGCATGTCAAAGCGTGAAAATCGAGTAAAGTTGGATTAGAACGATTTTTATATATGGGTCTTTAATATGATGAACAAAGTTAGTCATATGACTCCTTGGTCAAGTTAAATATATTTGATAAAAGTTTTAAACAATTTTATCACCACTTCATTCTGTATCGATTATTAATTAACATATATATATATATATATATATATATATATATATATATATATATATATATATGATGCAGTAAATGTTGAAACTAAGAATGAAATAAGACGTAAACTATCCGGAATGAATTCTGTATTTCCTAAAGTCAATGTTAAATATTTATAGTATTTTATACGTAGTGAAGAAAAACAGAAAAATCATATTTCATGAATGTACGTAGGAATTAAAACCAACCTCAAGAATCGGGTTTATTAACAACGTGAAAAAAAAAACAAATAAATAATTAACTTTATTGCACATTAAGCTTAAACCTCTACTATTATCATCATATAAGTATGATTCTAAATCCTTTCAATATAAAGACAGTTTTGATCTCCTGTCAATCAATCTTTAATTCTCCTACAATTTATTAGGTTTTCTTAAAAGAATTTTGGTTTATTAACAACGTGAAAAAAAAAACAAATAAATAATTAACTTTATTGCACATTAAGCTTAAACCTCTACTATTATCATCATATAAGTATGATTCTAAATCCTTTCAATATAAAGACAGTTTTGATCTCCTGTCAATCAATCTTTAATTCTCCTACAATTTATTAGGTTTTCTTAAAGGAATTTATCGGAGAGAAATACACTAATGAGACATGAGTCTAATCCACATAAATAATTAATATTATTTTTAACCAAAAACTTTAAGACATTAGGTTATGACTCATTGTCGATTCAACATTTAGTTTTAATATCACTTATTGGATCTTTTGAAGGGGGGTTTACAAGGGAGAAACACACCAATAAAACATAAGTCCAACACACATAAGGATTGACATCACTCTCAACCCAAAATCTTAAGACATTGAATTACGAGTCTTTCTTTCTTATATATGTTGTTCAACTTTCTTATTTTTACACAATGTAAAACTTAGAATCACACTTGGATTACTTAACACATCCCACAGAGTTTCACAAATTAATTTGTGAGACTTTATCATTATGTTAACAATATGTCCTTTAGAGCTATAAAAACTCAGCTTTATAGTTCCATCATTTACTAAATCCATGAGAAAATGAAATCTGACTCCAATGTACTTGTTTCATCCATGAAAAACAAAATTTCCCGACAATTGAATTGTAGAGTTATTGTCACAATAAATTTGTGTACTTCCTCTTTCTGTAGCTCAAAGTTGTTCCACGATTATCATAAGTCAAATACATTGACAAGCACTAAGTGTAGCAACAATGTATTTGTTTCACTACTTGCTATTTTTTCAAAACCCATGGAATTACTCTAGATCTCATCAAATTGATAAACGTATTTCGGGAATAATAATATTCTTCACGAAGTTGTTGCTTCCTATGTTTAATTGTTCAAGGACTACTCAAGCATATCTTCTCTAGCAGAAGAAAATTTCAGCTTCACTCTATAACTTCAATTCCCATAAAGTATTCCATCATTTCCAAGTCAGACATATCAAACTCTCTCATCACTGAATTTTTGAATTTATTACACATACTCTTGTTGTCTCTAGTGAAGATGAGATCATCTATATACAGACTAACAATAAGTTTGCGACCTCCTTCTATCTTGGTAAATAATGTGAGCTCATTGAAATATTTTTCAAACCCTTCATGTGTAAAATATGCTTATATCTTATTGTACCAAGCCCTAGGTGCTTCTTTAAGGTCATGTAATGCCTTTTTAAGTTCTCCATGAAGGAATGCACTATTTACATCAAGTTGAAATATTAGACATATTATATCAAGTCTAGCCACCGGTGCAAAACTTCTATGTAGTTTATTCCATATTGTTGTGCATATCCTTTTGTCCCTAATCTTGCTTTGTGTTTTTCTATTTCTCCATTTTCGTTGAGCTTGGTTTTGAAAACTCACTTAACTCTAATTGGCTTGACTCCTTTCGGTAAATCTGTTAGCTCCCATGTATTGTTTTTCTCTATGGATTTCATCCCAGCTTTCATTGATCTTGCCATTTTATGCTTTTGGGTGCTTCTTCGAAGGATAATGGATCATTTTCGCTTTCAGTCATCAACATCATGAGATTTTCTTCTGTTGCAGCCAAATTAGCCCATGTTACATAATTGGTCATCCATATGGGTGCTCTTCTAACTATTGTGGCCCTCCCTTGAATTGGACTTTCTTGATCAACGTTGTTTTCCTCACTTGTGAGTGATCTGATTCCACTTGAATTGTTGTCATATTCACTTTCTTCTTACTCAGCTTCTTCTTCTTCTTGTTCATCTTCTTCTTTTTCAAGATTATCTTCTTCATCTTCATATACTAACACATCACCTTTCCTTTCTTCATCGGTTCTACCCCAATCTCAACTTCTCTCTTCTTCAACTTTTGTTCTTTCACTTGATGTTCCTACATCCTTTGTTCTTGAACAAGAAGGCTTCCATGGAGTTCATCAAGGGTTAAAATGTTTAAATCATTTGACTCCTCTATTGAACATACAATATAGATGAACTTAGAAGTCAATTATTTAATTAAGTATTTTAGTGACCATTGTACTTGTTCCATGTTTTCACCATTGAACTTCATCTTGTTCACCACAGTGAGAGTTCTTCCTAAAAAGGTGTTCAACTTCTCTCCTTCTTCTTCTTTCATAGCAAGCATTTTAAACTCTTTTCTCAAAACTTGAAATTATGCCATTTTTATCTTTGTAGAACCTTGGTACTTCTACCGCATTGACACCCAGATATCCTTTGAAGTCTCTTGGTCAAAAATTGTCTTCAAAATTTCTCTATCAATAAGAAATTCTTAACCTTCAAATATTTGTGCGGCTCCATTTGTCAGCAATGGTATCCTTCCGTTTTGAGATTCCATAGTTTTTTACTTCTCAAGAAGTTTTCCATCATTATAGACCAATATATATAATGACCATCAAATTTTGAAATAGCTGGTAGCATAAATTTTTTTCATATTTTTGTTTGCAGACGCAAACACACTTTGCACTCACAATCATTCACCTTGCAAAGCTATAATATCAACTATTGAAACTGAAAATGAAATAATATATAGAATAGAAAAAATAAATTATATATTTCTTAAAATGAGCATTAAGCATTTATAGCCTTCTACACTTACAAAAACAAAACACCACATTTTATTCTAGAGCAAGGTCTACTAATTATAGATAATAAGTCTACTAATAGATTACATACAAAAGTGAATCAAGCTAATTCCAAAACAACCCAAAAAAATCAAACTATTCTCATCAAATAATTTCCTATCCAAATATAAATATAAATATAACATACAAATATAACTTCAACTCAAAACATATTTAATTTTGCATTCAAATGCAAATAAAAATAAACTTAAACCTACTTGATGGGTTGGTCTCAATGTGTTGTGTGGTGGTGGCGCCATAGTTCATGTGCGGTTCCAAAGTGTAATCTATAGGTTTTTTGAAAAAATTCGCGAGATGAGATATAAGTCTATTTTATATAAAGAATTTATTTATTTAAACAAAAAAATTAAGATATTATATTTAAAATCTTTTATATATTTTTTAATTTTTTAATTTTTATTTAATATAGAATTTAAACTCACATTTATATTTCTCAATAATAATATATTATGATTTATATATTTTAAAAAATTAATAGGGAGACAGAAGAAAAAAATACGATACAATGAGTGAAAAAAGTATATAAATATATCTAAAGAGTAGATAAAACAAAATAAATTTTAAAACATAGTGCATGATAAATTAATAATCTAAAAAATATGAACACACAACTACTTTAACACCTAAATACAAAGATTATTGAATATAATTAAAAATAATAATAATAATAATAATATACAAATGTTGAGATATGATATGTTTTCATTAATATATAAAAGATTTTTTTTAATTTTTTTTTCACGTTATTTATAATATAATATTACTTTTTATCAAATATATAAATTGGAGAGAAATTAATATCTTAAAACTATGGTTTACTTTTCTATAAATTTATTTATATAAGAATAGTGAATTTTAAAGTTTATAAAAAAATCATATATATTTAATTTGAATTATTTTTATTTTAAATTATTTATTTTTATATTATAGTTTAAAAAAATTCATTAACTTTGAGAAAAAAATAAAGTTTTATTTTTTTGAAATAACAACAGCAAAAAAAATTATATGAATGATTAAGGATAAGATGATATGAAAGTGTTTATGTTTTTGACATATATTGAATCTTAATTAAGTTAAGAAGTGACTCTTAATTGAGTGATATATCTCAATCACTTAGGGCAGCTATTGAAAGATCAACCATTTCGTTGATAATTTTCTTCCCACATGCTACGCTTCTTCTCAATGGTGTTTAGAAGAAGTTGTAAAAATAGTTGAATGCAAACAGAAATATAAATGGATTGTAATCCG